TACTAATTTAAAACTCGATCTAAACTCTGATTTTTCAAATGAATCTATTAAGATAAATTAAGTTTAATAATTGTGCTCCTCATGTTTTTTTTCTTAAAAATAACCTACCCTGATCTGACTTATTGAACCACTTATTAATCTATATGTTATTTAAATTAATTTTTAAAATTATTGATTTTTATACAACTAAATTAATCCAGATTTGAGCTTGACTAAGTTAATATTAAAATTTATTTAACTTAAAACTTGATTCAAATCCGGAATTTATCAAATGAATCTATCAAAATAAGTTGATTTTAATAATTATGCTCCCATACTTATAAAAAAAAATTCACCTTGGTCTGGATTATTAAATCACTTGTAAATATATTTCTTGTTTAAATTACTTTTTAAAATTATTAATTTTTACACGATTGAATTAATCTAGCCATGAATTAATGCACTGATTATTTGAGCTTAATCAAGTTAATATTAAAATTTATTTAACTTAAAACTCGATGCAAATCCTGAATTTATCAATTGAATCCCTCAGGGCAAGTTGCAAGTTGAGTTTAATAATTGTGCTCCCCATGCTTGCTAAAGAAACCCACCATCTTTCTCCCAACAACCTCCTCTTCAAGCTTACGAGAGGGGAAGGACAATGAAGAACTGGAGTGGTTAAAGTGTCGGGGCATAGAAGTACGAGTGAAAGTGTCTATATTCAGATGAACAATTTATGAATATCATTAATAGTTCTTCTTCTAACAGGCAATGTATTTTCAAATTAAAACCTTATTTTCAAACATTTGTGAATTTTGATTTTCATAGCAAGGAGAATATAATTTCTTATTGCTTGATCCATCACCATGAAATCTTCTGTATTATTAATAATGATGGATAATTTTTTCTTTTAGGGTTACATTAATATTCTTCAAATGAATTGAAAGATTATACTTTGAAAGATTGATATTTTTTTGTGATTTTTTTTTATCAGCATGGGATTGTTAATCAGCTATAATACTTAATTTTATTAATTTTATTTATGTAGAATTATTTTTTTATTTATCAGCATGGGATTGAAAGATTATACTTTGAAGGATTAATTTTTATGATGGATAATTAAGTTCTGCAAATTACTCTTCGAATGAATACTTATTCTGTTCTCATCTTGATGACTTGTACAAAATTAAATCCACTCCTTTTAGAATCTTTTTTTTTGTGCTTTTTGTATCTAAAAAATAATGAGATCAAATCTAAGTGAATATAAAAAAGGCACCCTTTTTTATTCACATATCACAAGTGGGTTGTTGTTATATATTTTGAGGCCCATATAAATAAAAAATAAATAAAATAAAATACAAAAAACAAAAAAAATATTTGAAGAAAATTAAGAAAATATATCAAGAAGAAAAATATACCAAAACACACAGGAAATTAAAGAAGATTAGTTGAGAAAAATCAAAATATATAAGATTTAGAAATTTAATAGTGTATCTTCAACTGATGAAGATTTTATTGGCAAAGAAAAATTCAATTTGAGAAGAAAAATTCAAAATTAAATGTTCAAGGACTCAATTAGATATACTAAGGTTTAATTACAAAAAAAAAAATTTTTGAAGTCAATTTATGTTTTAATTGAAAGAAATTAAAGTGTAACGGTTGAATTATAATTTTTAAGAGTTAAATCAACGGTTTCATTGTATAAATATTAAAGTTTGATAAGTAATTAGAGACTTGATTGAAAAAATCAAAAACTAAGAACCAAACTAGAAAATACATTTGAATACAAGGGCTGGAATCGACCAAATCAGGAGCCAATATAAAAAGATTAAAAGTTTATTAATTAATCAAGATTCAAAATTCATGAATTTAGAACTAATGACTAAAACAATAAAGGTCGTCTAAAAGCCTTAACAAATTTTTTTTTAAGCTTTGTAAATTTACGAGGGATCTAAAAGTAGGTTCTTTTTGGTATGTTTTGTTGTTTTTTATTTGTTTTGTTTTATATTTATGTTCACAAGCATAGAATTTTTTTTTGGAATACTTAACAAGTGATGCTGCATTTATTTCTTTATTATTATGTTTTTTTATTTAATGATATTCTTTTGAAGTCTTTTTTATGTTTTTTTATATTAAATTTGTTGTTTAATTTTTTTTTTAATGTATAATGTTGTTTTAATTTTCGTTTAGCTTAAGTTATGCATGTTATAACAATGGTGTTTATTGTGGGTTTAATAGGACTGTTCATGCATAAAATAAGTTTAAAAAACTAATTTTAAATTCGTGATGAACGAACATGTAGGTTGTTTTCGGTTGGTAGTTTTTGGATATGATACCTTATGCTTGATTTTGATGTTTTGATATTTTTTATTAATTTTTAAATTTAAACAAGTTTGTGTATGGTATTGTGACTTGTTAGGATAAAAAATATATATTTTAGAAGCTAAAAATACCCACTTCTAAGGCTTGGCAGCGGGTTAGGCATGGTTGAGTTTTTTTTTAGTTTATGGACAATGTTTTTTGTGTTCGTGGGAAGAACATTGCCATAACCCCTTAATTTAGATCAATTCTGGTCTATTTCTTTGCAAAGAACCCTTCCTTATACTTGATTAATCAATAATTTAGTGTTTATTTGCACTAATAATACGATTTTAATGGTTTTTGATTCTAGGGTTATGGTTTACAACTGAAATTTATTTTGACAAAGTTGTGATGCTTAAGAAATAATCGAAATGAATAGATACTACATTATTGATCATTGCATGATTTTTAAAAGATTAGTTTAGCATGTTTTTTTTTTAAAATATAATGTATGAATTTTATAACAAGTTTGTAAAATTTCATAGGATTTTGACCTATATTTAAAAATTATTTTTGACGAGAAAATATATAAGTATAAAAAGCCTAAAATGGATTAATAAAAAACCCAAGAGTTAATATCTAAAATATTATTAGGGATAATAATTTTATTACTCACTTTAATATAAGGATAAAAACTTGTATGAGGTTGAAATTCAAAATATTATTGTGAATAATACAATCCATTTACTTCAAATATAAGGATAAAATCTACAAGGAATTTTATTTGAAATTTTATTTGGAATGATACGATAGAAAAAATTTCAGTTTTACACCAAAAAAACTTAAACAATAATTGAAATTATTTTACATTCTTAAACTGAGTTCTTGACCTAAAAAATCAAGGTTTGTTTATTATAACAAACTTGTAGGATGATAGAAATAAACAGTAGCAGACCATAGCATTGACCTAAAAAATCAAGGTTTGTTTATTATAGCAAACTTATCATAATAGGATGATAGAAATAAACAGTATCAGACCATAGCAAATAATAAAAAACAGTACAGCTTACCTCAAGTAAGGTGTACTAAAAATGCTAATATTTTTTTTTTACACAACCAGTCTTTTTTCTAGAATCTTTATAAAAACTAGTTGGAGCTCCTACTAGTTATAATACTTAATAATAACTCTCTAACCAACCAAAAGGCCTTTCAGACCTAGCCTGAAAAGGATCATTATAACATTGGCTCTCACAATAATGACGTGTTTCTAGAATCTTTATAAAAACTAGTTGGGGCTCCTACTAGTCATAATATTTGATAGTAACTCTCTAACCAACCAAAAAGCCTTTCAAACCTAGCTTCAAAAGGATCATTATAACATTGGCTCTCGCAATAATGATACGTGATGTTTTTAAAATATTTATTAAAACTATATTTAGTAATGGAGTTCAATATATTTTTAAAGTGTTTTTCTAATTATTTTTCATCTAAAAGGTAATAAATTTATTTTTTAATATGTTTTTTTTATATAGTTTTGATATGATTAATATGAGAAAATAATTTTAAAAAAATATTATTTTAATATATTTTTAATTGATATTTTTATAAAAATACATTGTATTGCATTCCAAAAGCACTCCTAATACTTCCGAGCAATCATAATATTTTCTTTTTTTCAAGATTTATTATAAACATTTAAATATATTATATTATAAAATAACACTTATTTAATATCTTTAATAAATGTCATTCATTTTTAACACAAATCAACAATAAATAAAATTTAATAAATACACTTAAATAACATTGAACCATTCACCTATTTATAGTACCATTTAGATACAATGCACTTGTCACGTTGACATTGATAGTCCTCGAAAAAAATGCATCACATTGAATTCTTTCTTTTTTACATTAATTGCAGTTCAACATCACTATCATGGTGAATACAACCCAAAATACATCCTCCAACTGTTTTTTAATTGATCAAATTTAGTACCAAATGCCAATTCACGAAGAAAAAAAATCCCATAAAATATCAACTAGAACAATTACATACTTTGAAGATTAAATGATCACATATTCTTTGCAGATAAAGTTGTAGGAAAGTTCAGATTCTTGGTGAATAAAAATATAAAATATAGAAGAAAAGAAAGGTAGGGATTTCATGATGAGAAGAAAGTGGGGATATTCTTTGGCAGCAAGATGCTGTGCTGTGGGATAATGTGAGCTCAAATTGGGACCATCGTTGCCTCATTACCTATCAACAATCATCCTTTCCCCTATCTTTCTTTTCTCTATGCAATCAACCATTCATTACCTTTAGCTTTTGCGAATTGCAAGGATGACTTGGTGAGACCTCTCTGCTCAAAAGTTTTGAGTCTTTCCTTCAATAAAAGTTTTCAAGACAACAGTGTTACTTTAGAAATTAAGAAAACCATGGAAGAAGACAATGTTTCTCTTGTCACATGCGCTTGGCGATTTTGGATAGGAATCATTCAGACATGTAACATGTAGCAATTTTTATATGTTGTCTCTGTAATGTGAGTCATTGTCAAGGAATTTTGGTGTTGGAATTGGTGCTAAATTTCTGGTCACCAGGCAACAAACCAACATTCAAACTCAAGGATTTGACCCCCTTTTTAATCTTTTTTCCCCCTCAATTTTCATGGCTTTTTTCTGTTGAGCTAATCACAAAGGGGAAATTTGAATCATTAAGCTGAAATAGTCAAGCAGTTTTATTGTTATTTGCTTGAGTCAGGTTACATTTAAGTGCATTTCCTACAAGAACATGGAGATTTGACCTTGTACAATGCCCTCAAGTAGTTTACAGCTGGTCTTTTATGACATGCACTTATTCTGTTCAAACTCAAGTATACAATTTCAATGGTGTGAAGGTCTAATTGTGAGTTAAAATTAAAGGGAAAATATGATTGACTAGCGGTCAACAAAGGGGGGCAAGTATCATGTTGAGAAGCAGTCAATTGAAGGTGGCAGGTGCAAATCAAAGTTTTCTCTACAGATATGCATCCTGGTGCAAAGTCAAGAATTCAGACTGCATTACAAAACAACCCCCCTACAGTCTCTATAACTGAATGTGTTAAGCATGAGATTAGAGTTTCTAAAGTTTGTTTCCCTGCAATCAAGAATGGCCACTCTTCAGTATGATTGACACACAGATCTCTTATTGTTTATCTTTGTAGATCGAACAACAGCATGTCTGAGTTATTCGTGTTCTTCCGCTGACTTCCCAAATGGATGATACTTGGAAAGACAACGAATGTGCATTCCGCTAAACTTAAAATGTTTGCCGCCTTCCATGTGACCAATACCGGTTTTGGTTCCCTGGTCTAATGGGCTGGTTTTTCTGAACATATCCCTGCTTAGGGAGATCATGCAGCTCCATTACCTGTATCGTTCTTTGCCTCTTGGCTGTGGAGAAATAAAGAAAACAACTGTTAGAGATCATCTGCATCTTCAAATTTGTACAGAAATTTATATAAGAGCATGCTTCGAGTTACTTCATAATATCAAAAAGCACAACTTGGGACCAGTTTCATGCATCACCACATTTCATATCTGAATTTTAGTAAGTTACTAAAAATCAATCCAAATAAATTACTATCAGTAACAATGATGCAGATTCAGATTTAAAGTAGAAAAACATAAAAAAATCTCCATGCAAAGGCACTAACCATTCTCAGCTTGTTGATAGCGTTCCTGGAGTTTCCTTTTTGTGGCTTCAAGTTTCATCCGGACATCAACTTCATCTGAATTCTTCAATTTCTAGATGAACAATAGTGTCAGATTAAACTAGAGCGGTAGATTAAAAACTATAGCAACTCCTTTTATACTTACATCTTGCTGGCCAGTTGGAGGCTTTCTCTGGCTGGTAATCTTATCTGTTTTCCGAATTAACTGTGGTTCCTGATTCATCTTCTGCTGAATGTTTTGCTTTAGAGGTCTTCCAGGTCCAGAATTGGCATTTGAAGGCTTGCTTGCCTTTACAATAGCTTCTTGCCTCCTCATCTGTTGACTCCTTTTGTCTTTGGAAAGGACACTTGCTCCATTAGAAGTGTGTTGTTTCTGTTTTGCAAAATTTTGTTTCTCCACTGATGGTCTCTGTCCACTTTCACGGTTCTTGATGAATTCCCCACCGTTTCGAGGATCTGAAACAACATCCCCCATTCATAATCATGAATCTAAGAAGTGGGGAATTCAAATAAAGAACCGAATACCAAGAGCTATCAAAGAGAGGAACAAAGGATAGCAAATTCAACTCACTTCCATCATCATCCATTCCATCAAAGAACTTCATGTAGTGCAGCAACAGGGACACACAAAATGTACAAACAGTTAGTCCCCAAACAGAATACCCTGAGTTATAACGTAAACATAAATCAAAAGATGGAAAAGAAGCGTACTTGTGAGAGCTCCATTGAAGTAGGTTGAGTAGCAAAGAACGCTCCTTCATCCAAAGGAGGAGATGGAAGCCCTTCTTCTTCATCAACAACAGAGGGATTTACAGAATCGGGAGTACCTTCATCACCTAAAAATCCAAGCATAAAATCAGATGCCAGATAGAGTTTTTTAATTGGGTTGGAAAGAATGGTAAAAGCATCTCTACTGATGACAGAGTACTAGCAAACAAATGGGTACCTCTTATAGCATTTGCAGTACTATACCACTCGTCTACTAAAACTTTCCAGTCTCTGCAACCACATAAGAAAATTTAAATGTTATATAATTGAAAATAAACAAATAAAATTCAGTAGAGCATTAAAGAATCATAAACTAAATGACGTGCATGTATGAAGTCCAATGTCATCATTTATGGCACCTATACACCCCTATGTCTCCAGCAACAAGAAGTAAACTAATTTTCTCGTATATATGATTATACCAAGGTTGAAATGGGTTAAGAAACATGCCACTACCTGCAGATACTTATCACTTGGCTTATTCATACACATATGTAAGGTGAAGAAACGAAAGGGCAGCTAGCAAACTGATCCAGCAGATTAACAAATGAAGTAGCTTATTAGGCAGAACTAGCATCTCAAAAAAGTGCCAACAGATTTCATGCTTGAATGGATGCCAAAACTCTTCCAACAGATGTTAGAATATATGATCTTGGCAACCATAGGTATTCAATGTTTGGAGAGTGGCAATAACTCAGCAGTTCATTCTCGGTTCAGCAAAACTGGTGGAGAACTAGCAGAAACCAAGTTGAATGTGATGCAGTCCTATGACATGGTCGAATTGCTAATTATCTAGCACATAGCAACAAACTACTACTAATACTACTACTTTGTTATCCATCAAGGCACAAAGAAGCTGTTGTACAACACAGGAAACAAGCACATACTCTATTAGAGTCCGTGCAAGATATCGAATCTGCTTTGATCCATGCTTCCGGAGGACATTGACAGCCTTTCCAATCTCAGTTGCCTGGTGATAGACAAGCCCCATGAGTACAAAAACACGAGTAAAAGAATTTGTACTGCCAGACAAAATTAATTCAATTCAAAGACTAAAAGGAAGAATGAATCAAACCTTCAGAGTATCCACAGTCAAAGCCAACAGTCGAAGCTTCCTCAAAGATTCAAGCAACACGGAATCAGACTGTCATAAGAACAATCAAAGCACCACCAATCAGACGTCAGAAAACTCAAATACACAGAACAAAGTTTCAGTAATCTCCAACCAAACAACAACAATTCTAAAAAATCTCCAAACCCATTTTAAAGGATCCATAAAACCAGATAATTTAACAATCCACTCACCCAAATAAGCTAAAAAAACTCAAATGCTGTTTAGATATAATTAACATACCTCATCTTGGCTGTTATAAAGAATGTCTTTAATTCTCAAAACCTCATCAACAGTCTGAGAAACCTCTTCAATCTCATCAGTTAAAGCTTCAGCATCTCCATAACTAAAATTACAAACCAACTGATCATTCACATTCACTTCTCCATTATCAATATCATTATCTCTATTACTACTATTCACCTTGCTCCCTTTACTACCACCTCCCTCGTACTCAAACCCACCATCATCCATATCTATATCAACATCATCACCATCACCATCACCACCAACACCACCACCAGAATTATCACCATCCCTTCTCTTGCTACAGCAACCTCCATCATCACTCACACCTTCATCATGACCCGGCACCGCCAACTCAACCCGGTTACAGCCCGAACACGTTATCAATCTACAAGAAAACAAACGCTCTGCAATTCGATCTCTGCGCAATTTAAACTCTTTAGGACAATCAGATGCTGCAACCAAGATTGCATGATCAATGATACCAAAAATATCAGAACTTGCTGTCCTGAAATAATTCCTCCAATAATCAAGTGACACAGATTTCATTGTAGCTCGATGACCCGAATCAAGAACCCGATTATATCAGTTTCTATACAAACTTGGCAACTCCCAGAAACAGAAAGTTAACATTCATTAGACTTTCATAACCACAAAAAACAAAAACCGATCTTTGGGATAAACCCAGAATTAAAAAAACAATCTTTTTTCCAAATCTGATCGATACAAGATTGAAAATCGATTGCTCACAAAAATAAATTTATTGTTTTTCCTTCTGGTTTCTGTTTTGTCTCGGTTACGTTAAAGATAGGATTTTGTGGATAAGTTGAGGATGGTGATCAAAACAGAATCGAAGTATCTAACAGAAACTAACGCGGGGTTTTGTTTTGTTTATGGTTTTTTGCTTTCTCGTTGCAAGGAGAGAAGAAAATTTTCACAAGGAAAAAAAAGTCCTGGAAAATTCGAAACTTTGTATGTAGTAGGAAATAAAAGAAAATAATTTCGAAATTTTGTTTCTTTCTCTTTCTCCCTTTCCTTCTGTTTGGTTTCCTCCACAAAATACCAGCAGATGCTGTGTGGTACAAGGCAGAGAGAGAGCTAACAAAACAAAAACAAAAGCAAACCCCCTTTCCTTGAAACTGTTCTAAGCCTTTTTTTAAAAAAAAAAATATATTAGATAAAAAAAACATAAAACGATAATTAAGAAAAGATAGAATGATTTTTATCTTTATTTTACTCTATACTTTAATTTATTTTCTTAATATTTTTTTTTAAAAAAAGAAACTTAAGAATGTTAATCTCTATCAAAATCTTTAAATCTACCAGCAAAAATAATATAAAATGTAAAATCAAACAATAATTGATTGGATTTATCCTTCTATCAAGATTTTTATCAAGAATTTAAGATTTTTACCCAATAATATACATACAAATATTTTTTATAAATCTAAAATCATATTTTTTATGTTATTTTTTGAATTTATCAGATTTACTTGATAACTTACAAGAGCTTGCTCGAGCTGGTTTTATCTAAAATAATTTTTTTAGATGTGTTTTTATATTTTTTAAAAGATTTTTCTTACAAAGGATCATTAAAAAAATAAAAGCAAACCCTTAAAGGCATCAAGAATATATAAAGGGTCACCGTTCAAAGCTCTTTCCTTGTTGGAATAAAGTTTGGAGAGCTTATTGACTCGGTTCCTTGCCGAGTCACCATGGCCGATAATCATCAAGTTCGAAAACTTGTCAGAAAACTTTTAGTTACCGTAAGAGTTGATAGCTTAAGAAAACTCGGCGGCTCGGTTTTGTGATAGAGTGAACAGTACACTGTCGTGACTTCGGAAAAAAAAAAAAGGAGGAGGGGGAGGAGGGTGTTTTGTTTTTATAATTCAACCTGCTTTTTAAATTATTTTTTATTTAAAAAAATATTAAATTAATATTTTATTAGGTATTTTTTTTATGATTTAGATGGGTTGATATAAAAATAAAAATAAAAATATTATTTTAATTTATTTTTAATTAAAAAATATCTTTATAAAAACTTATTTTATCGTAATGTCAAACACACAAAAGTTGTTTGGCCCTGCTTTTTAATTTCTACTTGCTTTATTTTAAAACAGAGTGATTAAAAATATTTACTTGTTTTTAATTAAAACTTTATTCGCTTTATTGCTTAATTTTAAAATATAAAAGGTGATTTTACGAAAAAAATATATTAGCTTCTATTTTAAGAAAATGAGAAATTATTGTTTTGAGATAGAATGTTGTTTTTTTTTTTTCATTTACAAGAGAAAAATAACTTTAAAAACTCCTAATAACAAAAGCATCAAATTATGCAAGGTGTCAATTTTTTCCTACTTATCATCCATTAAATTATACAATATTCCTATTTACTTTTAAAAAAACTCCATGTAATGTTTTAATTTTGATTTATCCAATACATTTTCAGATACAATAATTTAGTTTTTTAATAAAATCTGAAGTTTAAATTACATCCTCAATAGTCATTTTAATTTAAACAACACCATAATAAATGACCAAAAAATTAAATATTCTTAATTATAATATTACATGACTTGAATATCTTAACATAACTCAAATCAAACCAAAAGAAATAAATACTCATAAAGAAAGATAGAGAAATCTTGAAACCCAAAAACCATGGGCCACCAAGACAAAATAAAACAGCTTTCAAAAAATATTATGCCATTTTATATATAAATTTATAAAAATATAATTCATCACTTAACAAAGAATGAATGAAAAGAATAAATTTATGTAATTTAACTAATTAAGTTTTATGTTTAATTTTTAAAAGTTATTAATTTAAGTTTTATAAATTTTAGAGTTATTAAAACTTATATAATTATTAATTTTAAAATTTATAAAATTAATTGTGATGCGTGTAAACTAATCTACGTATTCATATTCATGTTAATAAAAAACCCAATGAAAATTTTTTTAAAGAAGCAACCAGCATGATAGGAAGAGATGGAGGAGACAAAAAAAAGTCTGATTCAACCCATAACAAGCTTAATTAATGTTTTTAGTTTTCATAAATTAATTCACTAAACTTTTAATATAATTACAAATCAACTGATGTAATTCAAAATTATATATTTTTTTTAATTTTATCTTCAATCTTCCATAATACTTCCTCACCCTCACGGATCAAAAGATATATTTATAAATTAAACCCCATTGGGAACCCACTCGGAGCTAAGTTGAGGTTATGTATAGAGAAAGTTAATTAGGTTAAATAAAAAATTATATAAAAAGATAAAAATAATATTATTCTGACTTAAAAAATTTAACAGGTCAATCTAAATTTTCATTTAAATTAGTTTAAAAAAATTTAACTTTAGGTCTTGTTTGTTTGTTGGAAAGTAGTTTTTTTTTTTAAAGTAAATTTTAAAAAAATAAATTTTAGAAAAGTGAATTATTTTATGATATTTGGTAATGTAATGGAAAATAAGTTGGAAAAATATTTTCCAGTATTTGATTATGTCATAGAAAATGAGATGAAAAACAACTTATTAATGTTTTATTTTTCTCAAGTTTATTAAAATAATGAGGAACAAATTTTACAAATTAAAAAATTGAATGAGAATGAAATTGAAAAAAATATAATTTCATAAATTATATCAGATAAAATAAATAATAATCAAAATAATAGAGATCAAATCTAAAAAATAAAAAAATAAAAGATAAAGAAATTAAAATAATAATATTAACATTTCATAAATTATTTCAAATAAAATAAGTAACAATCAAAAGTATGAGAATCAAATTTGATAGATAAAAAATTTCAATAAAAAAATAATAAGAGAAAATAAATAACAATTATAAAAATAAAGACCAAGGTTAATATAAAAATTAAATTTTAAAAGATGAAATTAAATAATAAATATTCAAAACAATATATATATATCAATTAAAAATTTGAGGATCAAATTTGATATAATCAGCAAATAATATGATATTTTTAAATTTTTCACAAATTCTTAAAAGTGTTTTCCGCCTAAATTTTTCAAGAAAATACTTTTCTAAAAACCAAGCCAAATTATTTTTTGACTAGAAAGTATTTTATATTGACCAACTTTTTTAATAGTAAATAAATACAAAAAAATTTTAAAAATAATTTTTACTTTTTAAAAAACAAATATAGCCTTATATTAATCTACATTCTATATTGATTTACAGCTAATTTAGGTTTTACAGCTATGGTGAAAGTAAAATGCATGCACATTGCTTCTCCTTTGTTTAGTACAAGTGTTGATTTTATTATGTAGCTATGTCCTCGAGTCCATATATAATCTCATGCATGTTCTCCCATGTCTTTTATGGAGAATTATTCACAAACACACACACACACACACACACACACACATATATATATATATATCATACAAACTAGTGGAATAGTAATAATAGGTAAATATGAGTTCGAGAAAATTATAGGTTGAGCGTGAGAAAATGAAATGTCACATAAGGTTATAGAAAGAATTTATACAATTTATTTGTGTTTGGATAACATATATCACACACTTATCTTCTGAATTTTCATGGATATAAAAATCTGTTTGAGTTGGGGTAATAGGCTAACCTAATATCTCAAGATTTAATATAATAAAAAAATAATTTTTAAATTAAAATAATATATTTTTTATTTTTTAAAATAAAAAACTAGGTTAACTCACGTTAATTTATAATCAATCCCTCATTCCCAGCATGAGTCATGGGCCGGATTAGTTTTTTAATTAGATATATTTAATTATAAAAACAACATTGCATAATGATTCTGAATATAAAAATATAAAAGTATTGCTATATTTATTTATTTTACAATATCTAATGGGAAACAGGAAAATTGTTATATTTTTTAGAAAGCACATTTGAAATTCGTCCAAAACCGGTTTTCACTTTTTTGAACTTAAAAATTTTGAGCTAGAAAACTCCAAATTAAAAGAAAAAAACCTTTCTCCTTTTTTTTTTATTTTTAATTTTACTCATCCCAAATCTTTAAAATACTACTTTTTTTCTTTATTCTTCCTTTATGTCTTTATTTTCTTTGTTTTATGTTCCTTTTCTTTTCATAAAATTAGAAAATAGCAATATTGATTTTTTTACTAATTAAAACATATTTTATGTGTTAATGGTGATAAAATTCATTCCAAAATCATAGACTTTTTTTTGTTAGTTTATCAATTATAATATATTTTATACGTTATTCAAGATAAATCTCATTCTAAAATCATAAACAAATTACCTCAATTATATTCGTAGAAAAACTTATCCTATATTTCTATTAATCATGTGAAAGATATATCTATTTATTTATTTATGGGATTAAATTCTCGGATTGTGGACACCATGTTAAGAAAAAAAAAAAGAGTGCGACTTTTCAAAAGAGAAAAAAACACGTGGTTCTGCAACTCAGACACGTGTTAAACGCTAATATTTTTATCCCGTGACGCGCACAATCCTCCCCAGCACCGAAAAAAGTCAGATATTCAAGGTTGGGGCACGTGTTCGACAGCGAATATGAGTTAAATACGTTCAGTGACTGTAAACCACGTGTGCGTATGATATCCTCCCTTTTGGTCTAATCGATGAAACTCTTAAACATGATTGGATAGCATTAAAGCCCTGTCACTCTCTCGCGAGAGTGACGTGGGAAAATTTCTCTAATGGGTCAACACGTTGCATTGGTGTCTTTATCATGACCACAACACGCTCTACCCATGTGCTAGTAAATAAGGTTGAGTAAATTATAATATTTATAAAAATTGATTTGGAATTAATTGAATTTAATGATTTTTTTATTTTTTAAAAATAATTTAAGTTAAAAAATTAAAAAGATCAGGACAATTTGATTTTAATTTTATATTTTAAAAACAAAAAAATTAAACCACAACGAATCAATTAAATAAAAAATATCCAATATAAATTAAGGGTATATTAAATTAATATTATTTTTTAAAAACCCAACTAAAAAATCTATAAAATAAAATAGATTTATTCAATTTTTAAAAAAATATAAAACTAAATTGAATTGATTAGTTTAGGTAGCTATTGGATTTAATTTCAAAAATAAGTATAATTGGATTTTTTATGTCCAAACCAAA